AAAACTATTTCAACTAATGGATTTTTATCAACATCACGAAATATCAATGTATCACTCGAATTTATTCATATGAATGCTCAATCAAATGATTTTACATCGGTTTTATTTGAAATTAAAGCAAACCCATTACTGAAAAGAGTGATATTTGCGGATGTTGGAGATAGAAGTCGAATAGAAGGTGAAGAAGAAGTTCTATTCAATCTCAATTCACTCTTTAAGATTGTTTCTGTTTGTTTTGATGCTGAACTTAATGTATGGAAAGTAGAACTGAATGCAACTGATGAAGGTGCAGAAAAAGTAGAAGAATATCTTGCATTTTCGAAACAACAGATGGAAGAATACACTCCACTTATTTATTTTGGTAGACTTCTCTTGTATGAATTAGGTCTAGTAGATCGTGCAGGAAAATATTTTAATATGTTATTGGGATCACTTCCACAAGATCATCCTGATATTGCAGCTGTTTATAATCATATTGGTATAGTACATGACAGGAGAAATGAATTGAATTTAGCATTGAAAAACTATGAGATAGCTTATGAGATGCGTCGAAAACAACTACCTTCAAATCATCCTCATATTGCTGGTTCACTCAACAATATTGGTGGTATTTATAAAGAAAAAGGTGACTTTAATACAGCACTCGATTATTTTCACCAGGCTTTGAGAGTTTACGACAACTTATATCCCGGTAATAATCTACAAAAAGCAATCATAATCGAAAATATTGGGTTAGTATACACGGATAAAGAAGATTTCGATACGGCTCTTACTTATTTCTCTCATGCTCTGGAGATGTATAAACATGTTCTCCCTGATCAACACTCTCAGATAGCAACATGTCTCGGTGGAATAGGATATACCCATGAGAAGAAAGGTAATTTAGATATTGCTCTGGATTATTATCAACAACAATTAAATATGGAAGAACAATGTTTACCTTTCGAGCATTCAAGTCTTTCGATTCATCTCGGTTCGATCATCGACATTTATAAAACCATGAATGAGATTGACAAAGCCTTAGACTTGTGTCAACAAAAGCTTCTTATTCAAAAAACTAGATTGGGTGAAAACCATCCTCGTAATGCTCGGACATTAATGATCATGGCTAATTTAATTAAGGATGACAATCCAAACGAAGCATTACAATATTATGAGCAAGCTCTATCTGTATTAGAGAATTGCACACCACTGGATCATCAAGTCACTTCTGATTGTTTGACATCAATGGCTGGTTTATATTCCAATTGTGATATGATGGAAGATGCATTACGATGTGACATCAAAGCACTTGAAGTTGATCGTCAAACATTGTCTTCTGATCACATTAACATCGCAAACAGCTTAAGAAATATTGGTATAGATTATGAAAGAATGAACAACTTATCCGAAGCACTTCGTTATTTCAGTGAAAGTCTTTCGATCTATCGAGCTAATTATGGACCAGAGCATGAAATGGTGAAGAGAGGTGAAGCAGACATTGTCAGAGTGAAGAAGAATAAAAAAATTCAAGCAATAAGAAATAGTCTACAGCCGTTGACAGTAGAGCATGTGTAATTGAATGAATAATGCTTTAATTTTTCATTCGATCCTGTTGTCTTTATCAAAAGAATGAAGAGATTTATGTAAAACTTGTTGTGTTTGATCGATCTTATGCAAAATAAAATAAGAAATAACAAAATAGATTCTTTTTGAAAAGGAAAATAGTAGTAACAATAGTAAAAATGCACATATGGCTTTGTCTTCACATTCGCAGATCAGCGACGACATGACAAATATAAAAATATGTGCAAATAATGATATTATTCAGATGAAACAGTAGCTATGTAAAAAGTATTTAATATTTTCTTACCGATAGAGCTATATTAATATTGTTTCATCTATATTAGTCTTCAGTAATCATTCACAGATAATAGATATTCTATTTCTTTGTTTTCATGTTTTGTTCTCCACGTCTCTCTAGTCATTGCCATCCTATTCTCTGCTTCAAACACATTTTTTGTAAATGATCATAAACATTAATAGAAAAAACGATTCCGTGTACTCATTCATAAAACAACTGGTGTAGCTATAAAAAGAAAACCTTTCGCAACATATGGTGATAGTTTGCTTGTTACCAAGCAAGTCATCTTCAAAAAGAAAAGAGTATTTTGGGTATACATAAAATACTAAGCCAACGTGTTCTTTTCTATCATTCGTGGCAAAACAAAGGCTATTATGTAAAACTATTAGCTACCTAAAGAACAATATGTCATTCGGTTTTAACCATTGTCATTGACAAAAAAACCAGTATAACAAACCATATTAAAGCAATAATCAAGTCAATTTTAATTTATTTAAATCACTAAGAATAACTGAAGCATATAACATTTTCATTATCATAAGGTATTAAAATAGAGAAATCGATTATAATTTCTCTAGATGTATATTTCATCCCAAAATCTTAATTGAAAAAGAAAAACATTTAAATCAAGCATATTCCTTTATTCTTTCTGTTCCCAATCATTATTGATGTAACAAAAATATAATATAATCCATAAATATAACCCGTAGTTTCATATCAAAACAAAAGAAAAATAAAGAAAATAACAAGAAGATTAAAATATCCTAAAATCTTAAAATCCAGTATTCATATTAAGAATCACCATTAGCTGTGGCACCGGTAACTGCATCATTAGTAGCTGATTGTGATGGCTCTTTTGTATTAGGGTTCTGAAATAATAAATAGAACAATAAAGTTTATATGATGAAGATTAAATCTCTCTATATAGTTTACCTTTTTTTCTTTGGCTGCTGTTTTCTTTGCTTCTTTTTCATCTTTTGCTTTCTGTTGTTCTAATTTTTTTCGTTCTTTTTCCTCTTTTGCTGCTTGTTGTTCTAATTTTCTTCGTTCTTTTTCTTCTTGTTTACTCTTTTCAACTAGTAAAGCTTGTTCACGTTCACGTTTCAACACTTCAGGATCACAAAATTTAATTGTTGCTGTATTTGAACCAGCTTTGATATATAGAGAAAACAATAACAACAAATTAAATTAATTATTAAAAAAAAAGATTTAATTCATACCACGATCTTCTAATCGAACACCTAATTCAGGTAAAATTTCATTTCGTACATGATCACATAATGTAAGAATTTCTTTATTCTTAATCGTAATTGCTTCTGTACGTACAGCATCACGAAATTTAGCAAATTGTTCAACATATGGCATTGCAATATCTTCAACATTGACTGCTGATGCTTGTTGTTCACCAGATCGAGTAAAACCAATATCATCCGAAGATGATGTTGAATTTAAACCAAAAATATTAATTAATCGTGTTATATAAGCAGCAATATTTCTTAAAAGAAGACGATTAATTGTTATATTTGTTGAATTCATATAAATATTTGCTGCTGATATTAATTGACGAATATTTTCCATAACAGTTGGAGTATCAACTGAATCACATAAAGCAATATGAATTTGTTTTTTAATTGCTGAAAAACGTTCATTTAATGTCAGATCATGTTCCTCAAATTTTGTATATGCACTTGAATGATTTAATTGTTTTAATGAACGTAAATGTGTTTTAATATTAAGAAAAAATTCACTTAACATTTTTTCATAAGTTAACGCTTTTTCCATTCCATGATCACTATAATCTAATGTTGATGACCATGAATGTAATAAAAATAATAAACGAATTTGTCTCGATGAATATTTTTCAAGTGCTTGTTGAATTGTTACAAAATTTTTTAATGATTTCGACATTTTACATCCAGCAATTGTTAAATGACCACTATGTAAGAAATAATTAACCCATGAATCACTATCAAAATAGGCTTCGGATTGAGCTATTTCATTATCATGATGAGGAAATTTAAGATCAATACCACCTGTATGGATATCAAATTGTGGTCCTAAATAAACAAGATTGCAATCGATTCATAACAAAAAACAGAACATAGATATTAATCAAGGTTTTTTATAATTATGTTTTTACTTTTGAGTATAAACAAAAAATACATTCGTTATCTTAATATCTTTTATCAATCGAATCTATTGATTAAATAAAAAAATAATTCTTACCTAATACAGCACTAGCCATAACACTACATTCAATATGCCATCCTGGTCGTCCAAGTCCCCATGGTGATTGCCATACTGGTTCACCTGTTTTACTTTTCTTCCATAAAACAAAATCACAATCATTTTTCTTTTCTTTCGTTGTATTTTCTGATGTTGTCAATGCACCTTCACCTTCACTTAATGCAGCAATATCACCCATACGATCAGGTTCTAATTTGGCATATGAATGTTGTTTATGAAATTTAATTGTATCAAAATAAACAGATGAATTTGATTCATATGCATAACCATTTGAAATAATTTTTTCAATAAATTTTACTATTTCCGGTACATATTCACTAACACGTGTTAAGACATGTGCAGGTAAAATATTTAAACTTGACATATCGGAATGAAATTCTGATTCATAATGACGAGCTAAATCAAGAAAAACTTCATTTTCAAGTGGATTTGTTGTATGAGAATGATTAAAATCCAAATAAGTTGCAAGATTATCACGACAATCATCAAATAATTTCTTTCGTTTCATTTCATCATCGGATGAAAGATGAAGATTTTGAAGAGCATTTTCTACCGATGAAATTTGTCTATCGTACATCGTTTGTTTATCTTTATCATTTTCACGCGATCGAATTTCTTTGACATGTGTAAGTGCTTGTTGACAATCTTCAACTACTTTATTAATTGGAATCGAACTATCTTCCATATATTTTTTAAGTAAATATCGTTCACGAGCTCGTTTAATAATTTTATCATCAATATCCGTTACATTCATACAATAGAGAACATCATAACCAAAATAATCCGATATAACACGACGAACTATATCGAATGAAATATAAGTTCTAGAAAAATTTAAAATTTAGACAAAAAATATAAACATCGAATTATTCTACCGTGCATGACCCATATGAGATGTATCATAAACTGTTGGTCCACAAGTATACCATCGTACTTCATTACCATTAATTGGTACAAATAGTTCCTAAATAATAACAAAAAATAGTTTCAATAAGATATAATATTTAATTTCGAATACTTTTTTCTTAGTAAAACTATTGTAAAGACGAAGTTGTGCATCGGATGTTACTTCAGGACATTTCCAAAGCCCACTATTTTGTTTAGCTGTTGAACACATTTCAGTGAATAGTCAGGTCAAATTGAAGGTGTTTGATGTAAATCTACAAGTATATATATAGGTAAAGGAAAAATATCGTGCAATTAAATCTCGATTTCAAAGAATGTTTCGTCATACATTACTTTTAGTGCTTTTATATACGCCTACATCTACTGAGAGAGGAAGAAAACACGGATGCTATGATCTTCTTGCGTTCTCTATTTTGTTACTGGTACAATCATGCTGCATATTTGTAATATCAATAGAGATGGCGTTAGATAGCAGTGAAGTATTCATTTTATTTTTTAAAATTAGAATAAAACAAAGATTATTTATTTTAGAAATTCATCTCGACGAAATGATGGTGAAAATCGTTTTGCTGCTGCATCATACAATTCTTTTTCTGTAAAACTATAATTTCCTTGTTCTATCAATTCTTCAAATACATTCACTTGACAGCGACTAAATTCATATTGACGATACCAATCTCCAGAACGTTCTAATTTTAGACCTTGACTATCAAATGTCGTCGGAGATGGACATCCATAATCATCAAACTTCGCTTGATATTTCAATGTTGGATCTTGTCGTGTTTTATGTACACGTTCACATACATGACATTCAAGTTTACTAATAAAATTACCACGAATATGATCATTATGTATACCCCATGTACGTTTAGACATTGTTTGAGCAAGAAGAGTATCATTTGAAATTGTACGAGTTAATTTAAATTGACGATAAGAATCATATAATGTATCATTTTGATTTAATTCATGAATATAACGAGCTAAATCAGCAGGTGTAGGAAAATCAAGAATAGATATTGCTGAATGATTATCAGGAAGAAAATCCTATATGAATAGATAAATTATTACAAAAGATATATGTATATATCAAACTTGAAATTGATCTGATCCATAAACGATTGGTATTGTTCCAACTCTTAATGGTCGCCAAAATTTTTCCGTTATATAATCCGTACATACAGCATTTTCAAAAGCTAATGCAAATTTATATTTACCAACAAGTTTTAATATGTCATCATGTTCCATTGTTTCAACTGGAATTCTTAAACTACAATAAACCATAAAATTCTAACAATATAGATTAATAGAATTTTTTACTTTTCTGGTAAATCTTTATTATGTAAACAACTTCCATACGAATCAATTGGAATATATTTCATTAATTCTTTAATATATAGATCTCGATCTGATGGTGTAAAACAATCAGATTGTATATAAATAATCGGTGCTAGATTTTCAATCGTTTGTAAATTTGTTTTTTCTTTAATATCAATGACATATGTTTGATCTAATAAATCATCAATTGATGCTAACCATTGTGTTGTTAATGGTACATCGGAATGACGTTTAAATGTTGCTGTATGATTAAACATGCTCATAATAGATTCAAATGAAAAAGCATAATTATTTTTTGGTGATTCTTCATGAAGTAAAGCCCATTGTTCATGTTGATAACGTGGTAATGGTAAATCATATAAATGAAAATCAGTACCGTAGAAAAGAAATGCAGAAAAATCTTTATTATCACGATATTTTCGTATGTTCGATATAAAACATCGTGTCTGCTCAGCACCGCATTGAATATATGAACCTGTATCATATGTAAATGGTGTCCACCAAATAAGAATAGGTACACTTAAATTTCTACTAGCAAAATAATTCTCATCTTTATCTTGAATATCTATTAAAGTAAATTGTATTTTGAAGAGAAAAAATTCAATTGAAAAAAACTTACAATTATCTAATATAGATCTATCAAGTGCTTGACGAATTTCAGTAATATAAACAATATCATGAGGATCATAATCGAGATATCGCTAAAGATAAGTCATAGTTGAGAATTCAGTGTAAAAAAAAGTTCGTACCCAACGAGTAAAAAAAAGAAAAATCAAAATCGATAAGAATAAACATATAAATACTAACACTTGACAACTATAATGAATATATATTGTTCATTTTCAACAAAAACTAAAAATTTCTACCAATGAATTTGAATTTTCATTTGAATAATTTCAAATCAGTGAAAGACATAATTTTGCGGTAGGAGAAAAGAATGTATTAGAAAAAATTCTGATGAAAATAGAAGTTTGAGAACATAACCAGATGTTTTTTAAATGAAATAATAGAAAACTAAACATTGACTTGTAACGATATCTATCGTAATTATAAATTAATAGATAATAATATAAACCATTCATATTAAAGTGCAATGATTGACGACGCATCCGTAATAAAAGTGTTTACAATAACTTAATCTATTTTTTGACAAGTTTATTTGAATCATTTCTTTAATTAAATTAAAAATTCGTTTTTTTTCTTCTATTAAAGATTAAAATTATGTGCCTAGATGATGGATGTGATGATCTTCTTTGCTGTCTTTGTGTTCCATTAGCTGCCATCTGTTGCTGTATGTATTTGATATTCTAAAAATAGTTTATTAAAGAAAACAAACTTCTCTCTATTTTTTTGTTTTAGGTAAATGCTGTGTAACTATTTTTTCTCCTTTTTTTATTGAATAATTTTGTTTTGTTCTATAGAAAGATATGATGGGTTCAAATTCCAATAATAATCAAGTTCCTACGGCAGTGTATGTCCTTTTATTATATAATTGATAACAATATCTATTCATTTTTTTTAAATTCTATTCAGTTATTATCAACAACCAGGTGCAAATGTACCGACAGCAGGCGTTTATGGACCACAAGGTTATGGTCCACCTCCTCAACAACAACCGCAATATTATCCAGGAGGTGCTCAACCTTACTATCCACCACCAAATCAACATCAAGGCTATCCACCTCCGAATCAATACGCAGGCTATCCACCTCCAAATCAACAACCAGGTTATCCACAACATAATCAAGGGCCTTATCAACCACCACCACCACAAGCAGGTTATGGCGGTGCACCACCACCCTACATCTATCAACCACCTAATCCATATCAGTAAAAATTTTCACGAATGTAACGCAATGAATGAACATCTTTAGTCACTATTTCTAATTTTTTGTTTTTGTTTATGGTTTTCAGTTTATATATATATGTATGTATCATCTAAATTTTAATAATGAGAATGGTTTTCCATGTAAATCCGTATGTTTGTTTTATTTTTTATTAATCAAACAAAAAATTATGAATATGAATAATTATATGTTTGTGTTTGATTTATTGAATAATCACATAATATATCTGTATTTATCATCCATGATATCGGTTGAATAGATGAATTATCTGCATGTTTAGATCGAAGACGAGCTTGTCGTCGGCGAAAATCACCATGAATAAAAGCATCAAATGCTGCTGGATGTATTCCCCAATAATAACCACGACCATTTTCAGATTTTTCTTGTCGAATAAAACATTCATTTAATGATAAATTATGTCGAATTGAATTTCGCCATGCTTTACTTTGTAATGTTCCAAAATAAGGATATTCATTTATAATCCATTGATAAATATCAACAAGTAACATTTGATAATTCGGTGAAGATAATAAAGCACGAGCAATAAGAGCTACATAAGATTCTTGAGGTTTATTTGATGTTTTATGAGAACAATAATTGTCATTTGGATTAAAATAACAACTATCTTGTGGATTCATTTTTGTGCAATGTCACTTATTGTGGTTCTCACTTCTTCGAATCGTTCATTTATATATATTCTTCTTTCTCTCTTATATATGAATGATAATGAATTGTACAAAATTGATTAATGATATCGTTAGATAGGTAACAGCTCGTGCAACAATTTATGTTGTTCTCGCCTATTAGAATATGAACAATCTCAGTAGAAGAGAAAGTGTTATCAACATACCGATCAATGTTCAACTTGTATATGATTTTTTTCTAGATGACTTCACGATTAATCGCTTCAGCTATTCATTCAACAGTTAAACTTAATGATGGTGTGGTTATGCCATTATTTGGTCTTGGAGTATATCAAGTTGAGAACAATTGTGCAGATTTAGTTGCTGCAGCAATTGATACTGGCTATAAATTAATTGATACAGCTGAATTTTATCATAATGAAGAAGGTGTTGGTAGTGGATTAAAACAAAGTGGTAAAAAACGTGAAGATATTTTTATTGTATCAAAATGGTTTCCATCCGCAGAAGGAGCAAAAGGTGCTTTAAAAGCTCTTGATCACTGTTTGAAAGGTCTTCAATCGAATTATGTTGATTTATATCTTCTTCATGCACCACAAGGTGGTCATTGTGCTGAAGCATATCGTGCATTACTCGATGCAAAGAAACAAGGAAAAATTAGATCTTTAGGTGTTTCAAATTTTGGTGTGAGCCATTTGGAAGCTCTTGCTAAATTAGGTCTTGATAAACCGTCCGTTAATCAAATTGAACTTCATCCATGGCAACAAAAGAATGATATCGTTAAATATTGTCGTGAACATGATATTACTGTTATGGGTTATTCACCATTGGCTAAAGGTCATAAAGTTCAAGATAAAACTGTTGGTGAAATTGCAAAAAAATTATCGAAAACTCCAGCACAAGTATTGATTCGTTGGTCTGTTCAACATGGATTTATAACAATTCCTAAAACATCTCAAGCATCAAGACTTCAATCGAATGCTGATGTCTTCGATTGGTCAATTCCAGAAGAAGATATGAAAACATTGGTAAATAACAATTATCGATTAAAATAATATTAATCTCTTTATATTTTATATATATATATAGAATGCACTTGGTGAGAAACCATGGTCCTGTACATGGGATCCGACAAATAATTCTTTAAAAGAAGCCGGTTTACAATAGTTTGCAAAGGAGTGATATTTTTTTTTAAATTAATCACGCATCATATTTTTTCTGCTTTTTTGAATTAGGATCAGCAATGATCCATAAACTTTTATTTATTTTAGCATAATAAAAAGAGAGAGTGGATTCATTCCAAATGATATCATTATTATATATAAGACATAAATCTTTGTTTATTGAATAAATAAATTAGTTTGTCAATTATTCTATACAAACATCATCGAATAAAAGAGATTAATCTTGTGACAAGAGGTCGTCTTGATGTTGATTGCGTTTTTCATCATTTAATGAATAGAAAACTTGTTAATGACAGACTACTCTTATTCGCCGTTGACGATGATAAAAATAGTTATAGAATGTCAATCTCAGATTAAAGATCAGAGTTCAACTCACTATTTACATTATATTTTATTCTCATGTAACGAATAAGATTTGACTTATTATGTATCATCAACAATGTCTTACACTTATATCTAATTATAAGAAAACCATTATGTTGCCATAGTGTTTAATGGATATATATATTTATCACGCTTGTAGACAGACGTATACTAAATAGCATTAAATCAATTTATTTCTATAAATTATTAATAAAGATTTCTTTTCATCATTTGCCTGGGAGTTGCTTGAAAGCTATAGAAATATCAAGTCTATTCATCAGTCATAATAAAGAGAAGTACAAGTAAGAACATTCTTGATAATTATCATGAAAATATTGTCTAAAAAAGGATATGAGAAAGACGCAGATTCACCTTATCAGACATTCTTTTAATCTATCTACATTTTTTATTCATAAAATTTTTTGCAGGTATAGTTTAATTATAAAACAAGCTCCAAATCATAGATGTGGTATCTATATAAAAGAATGAGTTTAGCAAATTTTATTTTCTATAGAGATTCAGATATTGTAATTAGATATTCAAAACATCATGTAAATGAAGCTATAGAAAAAGAAAGAAGATTTTTGTATTCATACTAGACTATTCCGTAGTTTTTTTTTGCTTAATTAGTTACTAGAATAGAAAATATCATTTAGCTTACGTCTGTCTTAAGAAGAAGACTTTGAACTTAAAAAAGAGTATGATCTTGATGAAATCCTGCAGCGTCATCTTGATTTTCTTGACATATTATTTTTAATATTAAAAATAAAATTATTTATTCTTCGTAATGCACATGACAATCAAATACTTTTTGTTCCTATATCGTCAGTTAATTCATTCCTCAATAAGAACATAAATTAATATGTCAAAAGTATTTATAAAATTTTTTAATATTGTTTTTGTCTGGAAGACTTCCCTAGGAAATGACTTTCAGCAGTTAATTTATATTGAAAATATATGGCTAACATTAAAATAAAGAATTGTATATTTTCATAGTTGCATGAAAGAGAAAATATATATTATAGGACACGTCATTTATTGATGAACTTTTCTTTTAACTAATTTTTATAGATAATTAAAGTATCGTGAGCGTTTTATTATTATTAGAGAGAACACAGTTGATTATCGACGCAAACTATAGGTCATTGGCAAGAAAAGACGTCATTTCAAATGTATGACTTCATCATCAGACATCACCCTATAAGCTTCGTTAAATATTAGTATTTTTCCGTCGTAATAAAAAATCACGTTGTCTATGTCTAGAATAGGTACTTATATAAATGCAGTAATATTCAGTCTATTTTTATTTAGATATTAATTTAAATAAAATCAAAAATGGTTGATCCTGATTTAATAAATGGTCATTCATCCTCGGAACCTTTCTTACCTGAATTCGATGCTCATAATTCAAGCAATATTATAGATGTACCTGAAATTATAAAAATTGCTAGAATTATTATAAAGGTTAATGATTACATAAGCCCATTATTTTATAGAGTAGCTATAATACCTATTATAATTGGTACAATACTTAATTGTCTTTCTACATATTGTTTTGCTAAAATGTATAAACGTAGTTCACAAAATATTTATTTACTTGTCCTATCAATATGTGATACAATTAATTTACATCTTAATTTTACTTTACCATTATTACGGCAATATGATACATTTGATAGTTATTTTCGTCATATGAATAAACTTTGTCTTTTCAATGATGTATTAACCGAATTTTTTTTAATATTTCCAGCATGGATACTTGTTTTATTAGCAATTGATCGATTAATACATATATTAAGTCCATCAAAACGTCATTTATCAAATTCAAAAAGACAAGCAAAAATATCTATACTTATCTTAATATTAATTGTCATATGTTTAAGTCTATATCGTCTATTCGATGTGAAAGGTATCGATCAATTTAGTGTATTTGCTATTGTAGCATGTAATAATGGTCAAGATTCATCATTTGCACTTCTAAGATATCTTAATTTAATGATGTGGACTATATTTCCTATATGTTTTACATTAACAATAAGTTTAATAATCATCTATCAAATAAAAATATCAACTCAAAAACATAATTCAAATCATTCTACTGCTCATTGTACATTAAAATGTAATCAATCAACTAAAATAACTATATTCATATCGATTTTATTTCCAACATTTTTTGATATACCAACTGGTATGTATTTGAAATTAAACTAAGAAATATATTTGACTATTTTTTGTGTTCATAGCGATTATTACTGGTCTTGAAATATTTTATGAATATAAGAAAGAACCACTCTATATGATAATTATGCAAGTTGCAAAAAAGTTACCGATGCTTCTCTATGAAATAAGTTTATCCTGTAAATTTTTTGTTTATATTATAGTATTTCAACAATTTAGGTAAATATTTACTTTATGAATGCTAGGATTAATAATTTCTCTTTCTTTATAGGAAGGTACTGTATTTATTATTTCACCGTTTGGCTCGTCGTAGACATTCATCTGAATTAGATCGACACAGTTATGTATATGTAGATAATGGTTTCAGACGTCGAACAATTCGTTTTCGTTCTAATAAACAATCAATTACGTTTTCTGAAAGTCATAGTAATTCATATACAAGAAGTGTTGAACAGCATCAAAATAATTTTAATAATCGTTATCAATCAACAAGTATATCAAGAATACATCAAGAGTATCCATCACTGGCTATAACTGTTGCCGGTTCAAATGAAGATCTTTTTATGTCATCATCATAAATATTTGAAAAAATACAAAAAAAAGAAGAAGATTAATGTTGTAATTTCAGTCTATTCTAAAATAAATATTCAGTAATATATTACGTTTTATGCTGTTTAGAAAGTGTCAATACAAATTTTTACAATTTTACTAGCATAATTGTTCGGTGAATATTGTTAGATCTCGAAGATATGATTCTGTTTTGGGTTGTTGTTTATAGAAACTAGATGGTATTCGAGTTTCACTCAACTACAAAATGATCTTAGAATCGAATCAAATTGATATATTATCTAAATACAAGTAACACTAATTCAATAGATAAGATCATCTTGATCAACAGTTTGAGCGAACATGTACTGCTCTTACCATTTGTAGTAATCCTTAGAAAATTAATATAATGTCATCTATAAGTCTATAATATTATCATTTTTCATTTCTTCTATATACATTAATAAAGTATTTTCTTCGAAATATTTGAGTATTAAACTCAATGGTTTTGTCATTTATCGATTGTAACTGAAAGATAATTTAGGATCGAAATAATATTTTAATAAAAAACAGCTTTGTTGATGCAAAGTGAAGCCCAATATTTCTTCTATTCTTCTTTACTTTGTCGACGTACACATCAAATTTTGTACATGAGCTCATCTCGTGAGCGAGATGTGAGTGGTACAAAATAACTACTGTTTCTGTGTGAATATATTTAATTTAAATATTAAAAAAGACTTCCATTACATAGTAAATATAAAGCATCCACAAAAACCATAGGATGCTATCCAACTGATATAAGCCGGTTTCAAACTGCTAGTTTATTTCGATTATATTGATAAGGAATGAATTAATCTCGAATAGTCTCTCAGTTTATGAAGAAGATATTTGCTTCATTGGCCTATAATTGGTGAACAAAATAACTGATTTCTTCGATTGAATTGCACTTTGTTTCTTAAGTTACACGGATATGCATCGTCTGACTAAAATAATAAAATCAAAAATGTTGAAAATTTATCACTAGACTAAAATTCCTTAAATTCGCAAGGTATGGATTATATTGTATAAAAAACCATTGTTTTCTACATCTGCAGTATCAATTTTATCGATACTGATATCGACTGATACCAGACGACGTTACTATTGGTAGTACTGTTATTCTTTCGAGAACATAATATTCATCTATATTATGTACCATTTTATATAGATAAAACAATCTTAACAAAAATGTTGCTTACAGTTGGTATCTCGATTTTCTCATTCTATATTTAATATCGCTGTTTTTTCTTTTTTTTTTCTTTCAACAGGTAACTACAACATCATGTGAAATCTATGAAACAAAACAAATATCCACTCACTTAACGATAAGAAAGAGAACAGCATATATATAACCAACATATAAGTCTATACAACACGCATTTCATCAACAATTTACAATGGCAAATCAAACTTTCACCAAGTTTCTCACTTTACCGGTAGAACTTGTCTACAGAATTCTGGATCACCAATCAGATCTCACAATCATATGCTCCATGAGACACGTGTGTCAACGATTCAACAAGATTGTGGACAGTTATCGTAGATATCAGGTAAACGTTTTTCTATCATCAACCTCTAATTTTTATCTATTGATTCCAATAGAACATACATAAATAAACTATATTTATCACTCAAAATAATTCATCGACTATCTTTCTCTCTCCTCAAAAATTCATTTTTTATCTTATAAAAATAGTGTTCTAAAAGTGAGAAAAAATAATTTCTTTTTTTCTTCTCTTTTCTCTTCAATTTCATTTACACGTTCCACGCTGCAAATTACGTATGATGTCATAAGCATACGATATTTAAATAAGAACGAGAAAAAAAGCAACAAAACATTATTTTCTTTGTACGCATATATAAGCACTTTTTTTTAAACACTATTTCGATAATAAAAATCAGCTTTTGAAAGAAATTAACTTACAATAAACTACTTTATCTTATCATAAATAACATCCTCTATATTTTTATGAGAAGTACTTCCGATCAATACACCTTCATGAGCACACACGATTGTAGATACAGGTGATGGTGAATGAGAATGAAGAGAAGAGTGGCTCACAAAAACATCTACATTCTCATCCATTTATATCACTAGTACCCATCCTATAAAAATGGAATATTTCTTCTGGATAATTTGCACATACCCTTAATACAAAACACATATCGAGTCTGAAAAACAAACATGAAAGAAAACCTTTTACTAACTACTGGCAAGAAACTATCTTGCGTCATATCTAGAAAAAAATCGAAAGCGCCGCACCATACCTTATTCTACTCTAAACTATTTACCACAATACACTGCCATTTGAGCACATACTACTACGCTGCACAATCGTTTTACACAAAAGTATTCTACCAACTATTCTTCATTAACAAAAAACTCTTACTTATTTCACTAACATTTAGGAATTAAAATAATTCACAAATAAAAAGTTTCAATTCATACGTCACCCTTCTTACTTCTGTACAGTCAAGATTCTCACAAAACATTATCATACACAATGCAGGATCTAAAATCTTAGAAACATTCATATTGGTATACATAGGTACTAGCATGGAGTCAGAACAGTATTCAGTTCACTGATATAACACTATATAACACCAATGAACTATTGTATCTCTTCATCTCTACCGTATGTTTACCTACGATTCTTCATTTAGGCACTTACTACACTGGACTTCACAAACAATCGAATCAGACAGGCTGAAACACAATCTTTGGCTTATGAATTAAAACACAACACAGTAACTCTCATTGTCTTTTTATCTGTACCATGTATTTACTTCCGCCTTTTATCTAGTCACTCACCGAGCTGATTCTCTGGGAGAATACAATCGGAGATATTGGAGCAAATTATTTGGCTGATGCATTACAACACAACAAAGTAACTCTTATTCTCTACTTATCTACACTATGTTTTTACCTTCACTTTTTCATCTAGTCACTCATTACACTAAATATCGGATATAATAAAATCGGATATATTGGAACACAATCGTTGGGTGATGCATTACAAAACAATACAGTAATTATCATTCTCTCTTGATTCATACTATGTTTTTACTTCCACTTTTTTAACTAGTCACTCATCACATTAAATCTTGGAGATAATCAAATCGGATACATTGGAGCACAATCTTTGCGTGATGCATTACAACACAACACAGTCATTCTTATTCTCTCTCTATCAATACGATATGTTTACCATCACTTTTCCATTTAGACACTTGCTACACTCGACCTCTGGAACAATGACATCGGAGATGTTGGAGCACAATTTATGGGTGATACATTACACCACAACAAAGTAACTCTTATTCTCTCTTCATCTATACCATGTTTTTACTTCCACTTTTTCATTTAGTCGCTCTCCACACTAAATCTCGGAGGTAATCAAATCCAAGATGTTGGTGCACAATGTTTGAGTGACGCATTACAATACAACACAGTAATAATCATTCTCTGTTTATCTATACCATGCTTTTACCTCCACATTCTCATCTAGTCACTGACCACATTAAATCTCGGAAGTAATGAAATCCAAGATATTGGAGCCCAATCTTTGGGTGATGCATTACGACACAACACGGTAACTCACAGTCTCACTTTATCTATATAATGTATTCACCTCCACATTTTCATCTAGACACTCACCACACTCTATCTCTGGAGCAATGAAATCGGAGATATTGGAGCACAATTTCTGGGTGATGCATTACAACAAAACAAAGTAACTCTTATTCTCTCTTCATCTATAACATGTTTTTACTTCTACTATTTCATCTAGTCACTCTCCACACTAAATCTGGGAGAAAATCAAATTGGCGATGTTGGAGCAGATTTTTTGGCTAATGCATTACGGTACAACAAAGTAACTCTTATTTTCTCTTTATCCATACCATATTTTTACTTCCACTTTGTCATCTAGTCACTCACCACATTAAATCTTGGAAGTAATGAAATCGAAGATGTTGGAGCACAGTCTTTGGCTAATGCATTACAGCACAACACAGTAATTCTCATTCCGTCTTTATATATACCATGTCTTTACTTCTATTTTTTCATATAGACACTAACAACACTACACCTCAAACAAAATAAAATTCGAGATATTGGAGCACAATCTCTGGGTGATGCATTACGACACAACACGGTAACTCTCATTTCTCTTTATCTATATAATATCTTTACCTCCATATTTTCCTCTAGACACTCACCACACTAAATCTTTGGAACAATAACATCGGAAATGTTGGAGCGCAATTTTTGGGTGATGCATTACAACACAACAAAGTAACTCTCGCTCTCTCTTCAGACATACCATGTCTTTACTTCCACTTTTTCATCTAGTCACTTACCACACTAAATCTCGGAGGGAATCAAATCGGAGATATTGGAGCACAATCTTTCGGTGATGCATTGCTATACAACACGGTAACTCTCATTTCTCTGTATCTATATTATTTGTTTACCTCCAAATTGTCATCTAGACACTCACGACGCTAATGCTCTGGAAGAATCTTATCGGAGATATTGGAGCACAATGTTTGAGTGATGCGTTACGATACAATACAGTAACTTGTATTCTCTGCTTATCTACACGATGTCTTTACCTCGAATTTTCATTTAGACACTCGTCGAACTTGGCCTCTGGAGTAATACGATCGGGCAGAGTGCGCTGGTTGAAATCAGTCAGTTTGTTGAACGTAATCAAAGAGGAGCAAAACCGTGAATGGTAATATTGAATGTATTTGGATAACGAGTGACTTTCTATTGACGAATATGGTGATGTTTTGCTTATGTTATAATTTTCACAAAAAGCGTTAATAAAATTCCTTGTTTTGAAACTGAATGTATATTGTAGTGATAATATTTTCTTAAGATTTCTGCTTCGAAGTGATGAGGATGATAGTGTGGGAGTGAATGTTTACTGTTTCTATTCACTACCACGTCTACATCTACACTCGGGCTTATACTATTCTTATATTTCCAAGTTTGTGATCATGTCAATTTATTCGTTATTGTCAAACAGTCTTGTCTTCGTCGTAATTTAATTAGAATATCAGAAATAGTGCTAGAAAAACTTTAGTATCATGTACTAAGTCTAAAGAGTATTCTTTTTTATATGTAGTAATAATGTAATCAAGCTATATCTTATTATGATACCTGATTGTTCTTTAACTATATGATAGCATCATAACCAAATTTCAGTATAAAGCTATTTTTGAGATGTATACATATCGATTACATCAATAAGTACATCGAAAGAAAAACGGCGGAGTATTTTTTGCATATCTTTCAATGTCGACTAAATAACAATCTGTAGTGTTCACCATTGATGAGATAAAATAAAGATATATGAAACGATAGTTTATGCTGCGTTCCCCGAACCTAACTTTTTAAAGATTTGAAATTCAACTTTTAAATCTAAGACTATCAACAACAATGAAATCTTCCGCGATCAGATATATAACTAAATCATCAAATTATGGATCTAGAAACTATTGGAGGCTCATATATTTATATTTTGCTGTTCAACTTTTAATTGTAATCTAGCCAAATCTCAAAGATAGTTTTCTAACAATTTGTGCATCAAACTATATCTTCTTAGCTTTTTTAAATATTTAGGAAAAAGAGAACATGCTCTTCATAACATGATACATCTTCATCTTTCATTTACAACAATGATAATTGCTATTCTCACTATCTTCCATAGGTCGAAAGTTACTTAGAAAATATCATATTTAATGACAGTGTATAGTATTACCTGTTCTGACAAACAGCTTAGTCAAAATTTTACTACTATTTTATTAGCTCAAGAATAATGAAACACTACAGAACAATAAACCGTTATTTTTACTATTACTGAATATAAAGAAAGAAAGACTGCGCAAGCTCACTAAACAGTAACAAAACGTTTACTGCTACTGCTTTTAGTACTCGAATTGTCTATTTTTGATTCTACCCACATTAATATTTTTCAATTTGAAGATATGCATACAAAATTGATACTATTTTTCTCAAACAAAGAACAGCGTACAAATCCAAAACTTTTTTTTATAAATAACTATAAGGTAATCTTTGACATTTTTTATTTTCTAAATATTTTAAAAAGAGAATCAAGTCGTTGAGCTAAAACTCTTTTTTGTGAACCGGATACCAGTTGGACATATTTCATTCGACCTCTAAAACTAGTCTTGTTTGGTTCAACTAGAACCAAGTCGAATAGAGTTTTGTTACAAATAATCAATACTCCTACTGTGACGAAGATTTCTTTTGATATTTCCAATAGAATAAAAGTTGCGGCGTCTTTCTTCACACTGTTGCTGTTTCTAATAAAAATAAATGCACATTTTCTTTTGAAATTTTCGTGAACAAGCATATTCGAAAAAATTCCATATATATGAAGCGAAATAATCTTAATGTTTTAGACAAATTTGTCCAACAACAAATCAAAGTATAGTAAAATTCGTCAACCATGAAAGTATAATGATCCTATTTTTTTTCCTCGTTTCATTCGTCTGACCCTGTTTCATAAGAATACATTCTGTACCGTCTAATAAAATATATATACTTGATTTTACGATCGAATAACAGTATAGATTTGAAACAAAGATAAATATTCGTGTCTATTATGTACTATTTCATATAGATAAAATAATCTTAACAAAAATGTTGCTCGCAGTTGGTACCTCGATTTTCTCCTTCTACAGGTGATATCATTCTTTTGCGTTTTTTCTTTCAACATGTAATTACAACATCATGTGAAATCTATAAAAAAAAAAGCAATATCAACTCATTTAACGATAAGATAGAGAATAATGTATATATATATAATCAACATATAAGTCCACATAGCACGCATTTCATCAACAATTTACAATGGCAAATCAAACCTTCACCAACTTCCTCACTTTACCGGTAGAACTTGTCTACCGAATAATGGATCATCAATCGGATGTCACAATCATATGCTCCATGAGGAACGTGTGTCAACGATTCACCAAGATCGTAGACAGTTATCATAGATATCAGGTAAACTTTTTCTATCATAAAGCTCTAATTTTTATCTATTGATTTCAATAGAACATACATAAATAAACTATATTTATCACTCAAAATAATTCATCAGTTATTCCCCTCTCACTCAAAAACTCATTTCTCATATTATAACATTATAAGAATAGTGTCCTAGTAATTAGAAAAAGCACTCTTTTTGTCGTTTCTTTTCAATTTCATCTAAACATTACACGTTTCAAACTAGGTATGATGTCATCAACATACAATATTTAGATAAGAATGACAAAAAAAGGAGACAAAACATTGCTATTTTCGTTAATTTATAAACTCATGTTGCGTCATGAACGCAACCGTGCGGTGTCATCGAAAGTAACAATCGAAATTAATACCTATCCTCACTTACATCAAACATATGCATGAATAACGCTGAGTTCGATAAATTACACGTACCTTCAGTACAAAACACGTATCGAGTCTGAAAAACAAACACGAAAGAAAACCTTTTACTAACTACTGGCAAGAAACTATCTTACGTCATATCTAGAAAAAAATCAAAAGCACGGCACCATACCTTACTCTGCTCTAAACTATTTATCAAAATACACTGCGATTTGAGCACATACTACTACGCTGCACAATCGTTTTACACAAAAGTATTCTAAAAACTATTTCTCATTAACAAAAATCTCTTTCCTATTTCAAAAAAATTTAGTAACTAAAATGATTCACAGATAAAAAGTTTCAATTCATACGTCACCCCTCTTACCTCTTTACAGTCAAGATTTCACAAAACATTATCACACACAATGCAGGATCTAAAATCCAATAAGCATTCATATTGATATACATAGGTACTAGCACCGGATCAGCACAATATTCGATTCATTGATTTAACACTATATAACACCAACGAACTATTGTATCTCTTCATATCTACCATATTTTTACCTCTACATTTTCATCTAGATACTAACTACATTAAATCTCATGGGCGAAAAAATCGGAGATGTCAGAGCACAATCTTTGGCTTACGCCTTACAACATAACACAGTAACTATCTTTCTCTTTTCCTCTATGGTATACCTTTAGCTCCACTTTTTCATCTAGACACTTACCACACTCGATCTCTGGTGCAATCAAATCGGGCATGTTGGAGCACAGTTTTTGGGTGTTGCATTACAACACAACAAAGTAACTGTCATTTTTTCCTAATCCATACCATGTCTTTACCTCCACTTTTTCTTCTAGACGCTCATCAGACTGGATGTCGGAGGTAATGAAATCGGACATGTTGGCGCACAATCTTTGGCTTACGCATTACAACATAACAAGGTAATTCTCACTCTTTCTTTATGTATATCATGCTTTCACCTCTACGTTTTCATCTAGACGCTCACCAAACTAAATCTCGGATATGATGAAATCGGAGATATAGGAGCACAATCTTTGGCTGATGCATTACAGAACAACACAGTAACTCTCGTTCTTTCCTTATCCATACTATGTTCATACCTTCGCTTTTTCACCTAGACGCTTACTAGTCTAGAACTATGTAGCAATACAATTGGGCTTGTCGGAGCAAAATCTTTGGGTATTGCATTACAACACAACACAGTAACTCTCTTTCTCTTTTTCTCTATGACATGTCTTTATCTCCACTTCTCTATAAAGACACTCACGGAACTAAATCTCGGATGTAATCGAATCGGAGATGTTGAAGCAGAATCTTTGGCTAATGCATTACAGCATAATACAGTAATTCTCATTCTTTCTTTATCCATACCATGCCATTACTTCGACTTTTTCATTTAGTCACTTATCACACTAAATCTCGAACAGAATAAAATTGGAGAAATTGGAGGACAACATGTGGGTGGTGCATTGCAAAATAACACAGTAATTCTCATTCTTTCTTCATCTATACCATAATTTTACGTTCATTTTTTCATCTAGACGCTCACCAGTCTAGAATTGTGGAGCAATAAAGTCGGAGATGTCGGGGCACAATCTTTGGCTAATGCATTACAATACAACACAGTAACTTTCTTTCTCTCTTTCTGTATTACATGTCTTCACCTCCACTTTTTTATCAAGACACTCACCACACTAGGTCTCCGTTATAACCAAATCAGAGGTGTCGGAGCACAATCTTTGGCTAATGCATTACAACACAACAAAGTAACTCTCGTTTTCTCTTTGTCTATACGATGCTTAGATTTCCGCTTCTTTATATAGACACTCACCGAACTAAACGTCTTGGGAAATGAGATCGGGGATGATACGATGCAAGTAATCAAAGAATTACTTGGACGAAACGAAAAAGGAAGAATAGTGTGAGTGGCACTATGAAATGTATTTGTATGATGGATGAATCGCTGGTGTTGATCATGCGAATAGTTTCTCTTGTGCTATGATTTTTTGACTAAAACAATAAATAAAATTGCTTTTTTGAAATGGAATATGTATTGTGTTATTAATGGTTGCTTAGTATTTCTGGTTTTCAGAGTATGAGGAGTGATGTTGCATGTAAAATATAAAGCTTTTTCAGAAGTATGTTAGGGTTTGTGCAGTTCGTGCAAAGTTAAGCCGAAGTGTTTAATAACATTATAAAAACTTTAAAAGACTCTTTTCATTGGAGTTAAATCAGAAACTGGTTTGGTATGATAGTAGGTGAACTGGGAAAGATCGTTGTGGGTAACGACGAGCAATAAT